TGTTTGGCTACATATAGAGTTGCTGGATTACTTTTCTGGTTTTAGAAAATTTTAGAATTGAAACCCACAAATATTTATGTATATTTCATAACTGATTATTTCTTTGTGAAAGCTTCATCTCTACATATCACAACAGGCCTTTCTGTGAGTCCAGTATGTGTACCAGTCACTTGAAGCTTTCACTTTAGCTCGGCAGTGGTTGATTTCATAAATTCACTGGAATTATCAGTATGCATCCTTTATCATCTTAATGTAGATAACCAGTTACCCAAGACCTGAGGAAGTTTTTCCTCAAACAGATCACTTCTTGTCTCCTTTGGTGCAATCTATATTGCAATCCTACTAAGTCTAGTTTAGGATAGATTTGGAAAAGTAGTCAACTTGTCTATTTGATGGTATATCTACAATTTTTTTTTCTGGCTGATGTGTACTTTCCTTGACATGCTTAAAGCCCAGGTAAGGTTGTTCCAAATCAGGGGCAGAGTAGGGTGTTAACATCTGAGCATTATTCATTGCTTTTATGTGCCATCCATGTTCATTTCCCTTGATTCCCACTGATCACATATGGTCAGAAATAGTGGAAGGATGTATTCTGGTTGGGCTCTACTCCTAGAATCTGTAATAAGAGAAGGCTGCATCATTGTAAATGTGTTGTTTTATCAATCTTTTCTCATTGGCAAATAATTCACAGAAGATGCTATTTTTATAAAACATGTGTAATGTTGGCCTTTTCAATACACAAATAAAATCACTTTTCTTGGTGATAAACTCCTTCCTAACCCCTTTGGCTTCTGCAAAATTCAAATAAATTCTATGGTATTTTATATATTTTAATTTCTTCCAGCTTATTCCGACTAAGGCTGTGTATTTATAAAATACAAATCACATCAAATGCCACTTTTATATCTGTCTCCCTGAGGCAGTTTGTCAGTGTAGGGAGGTATGACTCTCCCTTGGACAGAAAAACAAAGAAAGAAGAAAAGAACTTCCATTGGTTGTTGTGGTATAGTATTACTGATACGTCTTCAGGTATGCAAAGCAAGACAAGACAAAACAGCTCTTACAAAATATCACTTGTCTTTTTATTACTGCAAATTATATACAATATGTGGTTAATGGTAGGAGAGAGAGAGCAGCCTATTGTTACTTTAACTTACATTCTTGTTCTAAGGCACTGTACGAAAACCTAATATCATCTGGATATCATAGCAGTCCTTACCATATAATTACATGGGACCAACATTATTTGATCAAAGTAAAAGAAAAAGCTCTTACTTTATTTATAATCCATCTGCCACAAACCGTTATCATTTACTTAGACCCTAAGTTACAGTTTCCATTTTAATAGTTCTATTAATGTTTGAGTGGTTTCTATGAAGATTATTCAATAAACGTTGTCCAGAAAAAGCTAGATACTTTTAATGCATAATCCTCTGGAATGTTTATTAAACAATAACATTGATCCTTCTGACAGTTTTATTTCTGAGAATGTTATAACATTATTATGCATCCCACCAGTAATTCTGCATTACTAAAAACTCCTGTGCAATGTAATGAGCCTTACTGAAAGCAGATGCTGCCGAATTAATGGCAGGGACACCAATACACTACAGAAAGTCACATAGTGGAAGGGGTGGGATGGGGAGAAAAGAATGCAGAAAATAATTCCGTTTCACTTTTGTAACAAAAAGTCACTGAAATAAGAAGAAACAGTAATATAAGGATTTGAAAATCCAAATGTAAAAAGTAGATTCACCTGAAAAGAATATTTTATTATTCATTATGTATTTACTGTTTAATGCAGAGTCTCTGGACAAATGGAATTTAACTTAATTATAGGATGAAAGGGTTCTAAAAAATTACTTAAACCCTTAAATGTTCTTGAATCTACTTCTGTGAATAGGTTTCTGCTTGTCACATTTTCTGTGAGGCCACCCTGCAAGTATCCTTTTATCACCTGTTAAAAAGATGCTATTCCTCTTAACTAACCACAAAGAAAGCTCAGTCTAAGGTTCACTACACTTCATACAAAGCCTCCAAAGAAGGGAACGCTTCAGATAAAACTCAGAGCTTGGCCATAATGAACCTGGTAAATGTTGGTTTCCTGCAATAAAAACAATAAGTGAAATCTTGGCCTATTGAAGTCAATGGGAATTTTGCCATTGATTTTAGCAGTGCCATCATTGCAACCAATAAATCTACCAAGCAAGCTAAAAGAAGTGGGTGAAGGAAGGAAGGGGAATTAATGTAACAGAAGCTATACGTTATTTCAGTCCTTGTTCTACCCTCCTTTGCCTGAGTGAATAGCTCTTGATACTCCTGAGATGTGCTCACGGAAACTATTGTGGCAGTGTACTGAACACCAAATATTTACAGAAGCATTTAATGAGTAATTCTGAAACAGGAAAATTAGCTTTGTTGTTATAATGAGTCAGTCTCAGATTCAACCAGAGGTTGTTTTAGGGGTGAGTAACCAAGGGCAGTTGCCCCAGACTGGATACCGTGGGGAGTGTGTTAGACTACAATAATTAAAAGTACAAGTTATGCAATATGCCTCAACCTATGCCTGTGCTCTTGCTAGCCAAAACCTGCTGTAGGTCCAGACAGATGCAGTTAGATTTTTCAAACACAATCTTTTCTGCAACATGAGTAAAAATAACAGGCAAAAAATTTAGTTAGAAATACAACTTTTTGTCTTTTTATATTTATATCCCTATCTGTGTTGCTTTTTACTGATGTGTGAAAATATCTCATTTCTGATGTATAACAAGCATAGCCACCATATTTTTGCATGGGTTTTCCCAGACATCCATTGCACACTACGTGGCCCATGTTCAGCAAGGTACTTTCAGAAAGCTTCAGAATAACAAATCAAGCAGCCACACCAAAGACATGCCATCATCCTATCTGGAAACAAAAATATGGGATGTGAGGAAATATATGTGTTGGTACCCCATCATGGGCTGTACCCTGTGTTTCTTTAGGAGGTGAAAGCTGTGGGAGAAATTCGAACTCCTTGTTCAGGTGTTCCAGGGTCTGGAGCAGAATATTGAGAAACAGAACCATTCATTTTGTGGGGCTCCTTCACAGGGATTATTTGCAACCAAGGGATAGTTTGGGGAAAAAAAAATTGCTGGTTAGAAAACAACAAGAAGCAAAGGGTGACTAAAAATACATTATCTGATGTGAAGGAGATATACAGGCAAAATACTTCTGAACATAAAAGCATGGTGTAGAAATGTGATGGATCTGTAAAATCACCCTTGAACTAGCTTAATATCAGTAACATTTATCTCATGGTAATAAACTAAACCAGAGTAAACTTGCCCTGGGAGTGGAAAATGGTGACATCCACTGCAGATATTGTTTTGCAATACAGTTTTCCTTGGCTGTTAAATCTAATTTTAATACTTATCAGAGTACTCAACAATAATTTTTCCCCACGACTTAAAACACTCTGCAGGTTTCCAGCCCAGAGTGGTTACCTGGCAATTCAAGAAAATGGTTTTGTTGTCTGAAACTGTAGGACATCCACTGTGGTTTTGATCATCATGAATATTAAGTGTTTCTCCAAACTGGGGTAAACACACAAACAAACCACCAACTGTCTTGTGCAGAAAATACTGTACATCGTGGCAGTGTTCTTTCTCTGTAAAAATGTTTTTAAAACTAGTAGGAGATGCACATAAATGATCACATTTGTAATAAATCTTTTGTGACCTCAGCTGATGTGGCTCATCAGAACATCTAACAGTAGTTACCCCTAAGCACAGGAATGCTTATAGATAAGATGAAAGTAGCCCTTCTTATTAATCACACTGTGTATCTGACTCCTGTTCCTTTCTTCAGTCTTTAAATCAACTCCATCTGGTTCTCACTATTTAGTTTTGCAGCTTACCTTTCACCATGAAACATGCTTACTGCTGCAGAAGCAGGTCCAATGTGATTAAAGTTATTAGGTAAAACAGTGGTTGCTTAAGTCTGGAATCAGCTAACCATAAAAAAACATGAACAGCCACAGAATGAAACTGAGGACCAAATCTTCACTGGGTGTAAATTGGCTGGAGTCCAGCGGATTTCAGTGAAAGGTATTCTGGGCCACCTTTCTTTATATTAATACCTTATGGAGCACATCAAGCAAGATGCCAGAACAATACCTGTACAAGTAAGAAACAATCTCATCGTATTGAAGACTAGTCCTGGGTTTATGATCTGTTGTGTCAGGGTGAGGACCTAGGTAGCTAGAAGGGAATGACCCTGACTGTGTTAACTAAAACAAACCGAAACAAAAAGTGACCCTCTCTTTGGGGTGCCCAGTTTATTTAGAGGGTCCTAATTCAGATTCTGTTCAACAGACTGCAAATGCAAGCCAAACAATATCAAGACAACAAAAGCAAAGGAGCAAAACAACTTTCTATGTTTTTTGGTCACTTCCTTTTTTATTGCCATGACAGTGTCCATTCCATTACAATTTTTTGGTTACAGCTAAACTAAGCTGCATTCATTACTGAGCTTGCAAAACTTTGTGAGGATTTAACCCAGTAAAAAATCATATTGCTGAATGACTGCGAGATAGGAACAATCCAGGGGAGGTAAGTTATAGTGGGATCTCTTCCAGGTAGGACTCGCATGTAAGTTACAATGTACAAGTAGGACCTGGCATTTCCCTGTGGTGAGCTTTGTTCTTTTAGGAGTTCATTTTGGAGCTGCAATGACATTTCTGCCACAAATGCTTACTGCAACTTTGACACAGATGCAGGCATCCAGTTCATGCCAGCAGACTGTGATACTCGGAAAAACATTGGGACTCTGTCACTGGAAGGGGTTACCCAGACAGTCAGGTCCCTACCCCAACTGTCACAGTGTCAGATGAGACTTGGGCTCCCCCTGAAAATGTTGAAATTTCTCGTTTTCTCAAGAATGCCAGCTATTCACCTTTATGTCACCAGAATGCCTAAACAGGTAAAAATATCACAGCTACAACCTTTTCTCTTTTACAGCTTGAGAACTACATTGTGGAAAACATGAAATCGGAGATGGTGCAGCTGCAGCAGAATGCTGTTCAGAACCACACCGCCACCATGCTCGAGATAGGGACCAGCCTCCTCAGTCAAACAGCAGAGCAGACGAGAAAACTCACGGATGTTGAAACCCAGGTATGTTCCCAGAGCGGTTTTCTAAAAGCTGTTAATTGCACAGAACTGTTCCCATCCTTTTTCTTTTCTAATTCATCACCACACAAAACATTTCAACCCAGGGCTCCAAGAAACATGCACGCTCTGTTTCTTGGTACCAACAGCAGTGATGACTGATCCTTGTTACATGTCTGTCTTTTGATTTCTTTTAGTAAGTCTATTTAGCTCTGTGTGTATAAGGCAGGCAGGGCTGCCCAGGAAACTAAATCAGCATTTGACTTCAAATAAACAGCCCAGCTACCCGCTGTGAACGATGCAAGTGTCAAGCTAAATAACGAGTTTCAGGCTAAAACAGTCTTTGATCTTCATTGTTGTTTGCTTCTTTACTATTACAAGAAAGTTTGTTTATTTTTTGGAAGATGTTTCCAGCTTTTTGAAAAGTAGTGTATGTCTGCAGCTTTTAAACTGTGAAGAAAGAGTGACAAGCATCAGCTTCTTTATGAAACACTGTATTTGTTATTACTGTAAATTCTACAACATCACACGAATTTAAAGAGCCATCTCCATACGATTCCCAGCACTAAAATCACTGATGTGATTGAAGTGACAAGAGTATCACTGCCATAACACAGAGTACAATTTCATACTGGGCTTATTGCAAAGATATGTATTACCTTTTGCCTTTTGAATTCTTTTATCAATTTAAGATGCATATTTGTTTTCCTTATTTTTGCTGACTTCCTCTTGATCTTCATAGCATGTGGTATATTACCAGCTGCACTGCATTCGCTGTTCATTTAGAACAGGAAAATTAAAGTATTGTGTTTATTTAGTTTGTTCTAGTAGCATCCGTACGTCTTGAAAGATCATATTTTCTGTTCTAGTGTCCATTACATAATCACATTACAGTACACTGAGAAACAACAGTAATTATGAAAGACAGATAGACTCTTACACAAGTTCCCTGGATCTTTATTTGTACATCTTCGTTAATAGATCAACATTCACTTCTAAATGCTGTGATCTCAGATGACCACAGTTTCTAAAACATAGCATATTGACTTACAAAAATGTTGGGGAAAATCTTGAATTCAGTATGAACAGAACATCTAAATGGAAACATAAGAGGTGAATACCTATGGATTGTAGTACCATATGTTCAGTAGAGAAAAAGGAGGTGTAGGAACTCTTCTTGTATCCCAAAAGACCTACATAGGTGTAAGCTTTGAGTACTCATTCACATTTTCCTCCTTTAGGCAGGTAAGGGACAAAATGTGCATTGCCTCTGTCTCACCCTTCCTTTGAGGAACCACTTCAAGGTAGAGGTATCACTGGCAACTGCATGAAGGAGTGGATGACTTCGTCTTTCTACACCTATTTCTGAAGAATTTAAGGGATGCTTAAAATTTCAGTGGGAGTGGCTCTTCCTTGTTGCAGTACTTGCTCTGACTTTCAGCTCAGTGATGGCATTTCCCCCCCAGCCCCCTTTCAGCAGTATGAGAAAGTCCCTGGCTTTGCCACCTGTCAGAAAAGAGTGGTGTAGGTGGCTCAAGAAAGTGAAAAGAGACTGCTTTTGGCAGTGGGGGAGGTAGCCAGCTGCATGGCAGAGAGGTGAAGGTCTGTAGCATACAAGGAGAAGAAAGGCAGGCCAGGATCTCATCCCTGTAATAAGAAGTACTCAGAGTAAGGAAGAGTCTGAAGGACTGAAGATAGAGCCTTGACCTCCTTAAAATCTTGCTGACCCCTCCCAATCTGTGATCCATCCAAAATCCCACTGATTCCCTTTAGGCTTTCTTCTCTACCTGAAGTTCTACTGACATTTTGTAGGCTGTCCATAGACGTATCCTATTTGGAAATCTCTTCCCTGTCTTCTCGCCCCTTGCCAGCCTTCATAATACACCTTCAGTTTCTCCCTGGTCCCCCTGAAACTGTGGTGATACCTCCTGGCACTTCCAAATACATCCATCTTGAACAACATAACAGCTGCATACCGATCATTTCCAATTTGTTCAACCTCTGTACCCTTAAAAAAGGACAATTCAAGTTGCTCTGTGAGTAATAATTTCAAACAAAAATAAGGCACTGGACTGAGTTTGAAAGCCATTGTTTTTGCAATAAATTGCTATCAGGCATGCATGAGAAAACACTACCATATAATCCTATGGTGATGCTGATAAATACTCTTCCAAGAAGGGTCTGATAGGTTCCATTAAGGAAGCATAATGTTCAGTTCCAGAAGTGGTTGCATCTCAGCTGCTGTGGGCACACTTATCTACACACAGTATACCAACAAAATCAGCTAACGTTAATTAATTATTCCTTTCATTCTTGAAATAATTCTGTTATTTCCACTTTTGACCTAGTTTTTGTTAGAATCTATCCTCTTTCATCTCGTTAAAAGGCTTCTTTTGGTCTCATGTACTTAGTAAAACTTGTGCTATTGATACAGATCACCACTAAAGTGAAAGACAATTGCATTAAAGCAATGTTTAGGATCAAAACCTTCATAAAAATCTGTGCAAGAGTACAAGTAGTGATAACATAAGCAGACACCAGAGTTCTGCCAATGCTGCAAAAGAGAGAACTCAGGGGAAAGCTAAAGTAGGAGCTCTACTTACAAAACAGCAGATGCAACACTGGCTTCAGGCCAAATATTCTTGCACTCTTCTGGTTTAAGCATGCTTTGTAGGAATGCATGTTTGAGGCATTCCTCTTGTTCTTTCCACTGAAATAAAGCTCATTTGGCAGTCACCTTTCCTTTTTCTGCTGGCCTAGTATTATTCTACAGTAAACAGGGTGCCAGAGTATCAGCTGGTATGTATCAGTGTAGCTTGATTGAGTTCATTTGCACCAGCTGAGCAGCTGAATTTAAAAAAGGTTTTAGAAACAATTTTTGATGAATCATCAAATCAGAATGAAATGGTTGCATTAAGTTTCTATAACAGCATAACCAGGACAATATAAACATTAATGTTTTTAATTTATCCTTAAGGTGCTAAATCAAACATCCAGACTTGAAATTCAGCTACTGGAAAATTCACTGTCAACATACAAGCTAGAAAAACAGCTGCTACAACAGACGCATGAAATCCTGAAAATTCATGAGAAAAACAGGTAGGAATGGGTAACTGGTCTCTTATACTGTTTCTCTGTTCATCACAAAGTAATCTGTGAATAATTTGTTTTAAGCAACAGACGAAATGGAAGAAGCAAACATGGTAAGTGTAAAGTAAAGGTAATATTTATTAAATAGCTAAGAGAGCCAGCGTGTGAACTTACACTGTGTTATCTCCTGTATGATAAGTGAAAGTTGATTTTTACCACTTTTCATGTGCAATGTAAGTTTACATCCCAGTTTGCTTCATGATAACTTAGTCATATCTCCACAGTTCCTGCTACTGAAAAGCACAGGGATAACTTGTATGAGCACTTTCAAGTAGAAAAATATTAATAATAAATGATGAGATTATCCACTACCTTAAAGTGCATAAGAAACAGAAAATCTTCAGTAGTTCATCTTTCTAATCTTAATGGATACAAAGGTCTAACATGTAGAAGGATCTCTCTCCCTTTGGACTCAATTGTATATAGCATACTTGGAGCCACGATCCATTAAAATTGTAAGTGAATGATAAACATTTGGGGTTTATGTTGAAGTTGAAGGAAAAAAAATGTTTAGCAGCACATAACATTTTAAGCAGTGAGGGAGAGTCAAGAATGTTCCAGTGTTGTCCCTTTCTGCGCTACACAGAAGCACTGCTCTGAGACAGTGACCTGAAGCCACTGGGTTTAGCAATCCAGCATCTCAGAGAGCCCATGTGGTGGATTGGCCTTGTCCGGCTGCCAGACACCCCCCCAGCCACTCCCTCGCTCCCCCTCTCAACAGGACAGAGGGAGAAAATATGATGAAAAAGCTTGTGGTCGAGATAAAGCCAGGGGAGATCACTTATCAGTTGCTGTCATGGGCAAGACAGCCTTATTTACTGACAATTAATAACAGCATAGGATACTGAGAAATAAAAAACAAAACCAAAAAGACCTTTCCACTCTACCTCCCCTTCTTCTGAGGCTCAGTTTCACTCCTGACTTTTCTACCTCCTACCCCAAGCAGTGCAGGGGGACGACATGGTTCTTTCCCATGGGCTGCGGTCCTTCAGGATAAGATTGCTCCAACATGGGCTCTCCACAGGCTGCAGTTTCCTTCTGGACATCTCCACCTCCTCCACTGTGGGGTCCTCCATGAGAAATACCTACTCCACCATCGTCTTTCTCACAGGCTGCAGGGGAATCTCTGCTCCAGTGCCTCCTCCCCTCCTTCTTCTCTGACCTTGGTGTCTGTGGCATTGTTTCTCTCACTTTTTTTCCTCACACTGTCATGTAATGTTTTTACCCTTTCTTAAATATATTTTCCCTGAGGCACCACCATCTTGGCTGAGGGGCTCAGCTGTGCCCTGAGGTGGGTCTGCCGGAGCTGGCTGGAACCAGCTGGAACTGGCTGTGTCCAGCGCGGGGCAGCTCTGGCCTCTCCTCACAGAGGCCACCACTGCAGCCTCCAAGCTGCCCAGAGCTGGACACCTGCACTCAATACAGTGGGTGAAGCCATTCTCCTTCTTGGCTGCCCTTCTAGAGACCTGAGGCTCGTATCGGCCAGATTTAAGCAGGGAGGACAGAGAGTGCTTTCACTCTGCAGCTTCATCTCGGCTCCCTTCTGGAAAGAACAACTGTGAGGTAGGTCTGACTAGGTCCAAGGTTTTTATGTCCTGTATCTACATTTGACATTGAAATAAGGCAAACAGCTTTAAAAGTGAGGTAGTTACTGAAGCATCCTGTACAAGCTTTAGTGGACTGTTTAAACTGAGATCAATTTGCCAAAAAAGACACTGTGACTCTGGTGCTGCTGGACAGGGATCAGCAACTGAGGCAGAAAGACCTTGCCCAGGGTTATATGCAAGGAAGACTAACACCACAACAGGCAAAGAGCTACTGGGAAAAGAAGGCAAAAGAAGAAAGATAATGACGAAAAATAGAAAAAATGACTACAAAGCAATGCGCTTGCTAAATATGTCTAGTTGCAAAGCTGGTCAAATAATATATTATTGCTATTGTTTATGAAAACAAATTTAATATATTTAATCTAACAACTGTTTATAACCAGTAATTTCAACAAAGGTTGTTCTAGAGAAGTTGGATTTAGTTGAAAAGTTGAACTTCACAGATTTCCCTTGACCATTTGGGAATATGAATAAATTAGTGTGGGATTAACTTTGACTTCAGCCATCTCAAAATTAAGTAATACATCTAAACCATGTATGTGGGCTCTCCCTGCAGTCCAGAGAGTAGGCATGCACAGGAGGAAGTTAATTTCAAATATTTTACAAACCTATTTCAATTTGCAATTAACTCAAGCATTAGTTAAGTATATAAATACTTGCATTTTTATCTGCTGCAATCTGTTGAACAATAAAATTTTATTGGCTGCTCAAGAGACTGAGTCTTGCGTAGTCAATAGCCTGAATTTATTTATTTATCTTAGCAATGTGTCAGGGTGTAAAGCCTTCATGTCAGTAAACAAATAAGTTTTTCTTAAGTTCACCTTTGACTTGGCTGACATTATGATGAAATGATCTGCGACATGACAAAATGGTCTGCCTTGGTTTTTTTGGAAGAAAAGGAGGGGAATGTTAAAAAGTACATTTTATATCTAATTGTTTTTCTTAGAACTATAGTTTTGTGTGGATAAATGAAAAAGGATATGAAGTTTCATCTTGTAATGAAGCAAGCGCCTTACATATACTGTCCAGGTTCTGTTACTTTCTCCTTGGTGTATTGGGTTTCTGTGGCAAGGTCTTGGTAGTGGGGGGGCTACAGGGGTGGCTTCTGTGAGAAGCTGCTAGAAGTTTTCCCTGTGTCTGCTGCTGGCCAAGGCCAAGCCAATCAGTGACAGTGGAAGCACCTCTGTGATAGAATATTTAAGAAGGAAAAAAAACGTCTGCGTCTCAGTAGCCGGAGAGAGAAGAGAAGTGAGAGGATGCAAGAGAAAACAGCCCTGCAGGCACCAAGGTCAGTGAAGAAGGAGGGGCAGGAGGTGTTCCAGGCGCCGGAGCAGAGATTCCCCTGCAGCCCGTGGTGAAGACCATGGTGGGGCAGGCTGTCCCCCTGCAGTCCATGGTGGTCCACGGTGGAGCAGATATCCACCTGTAGCCCGTGGGGGACCCCACGCCAGAGTGGGTGGATGCCCGAAGGGAGGAGGCTGTGACCCTGTGGGAAGCCTG